TTAATTCCTCTGGTCCTCTGGTTTCCAGATTTAAGGACATTCTAATTATATTGTTATCCCGTTTTCTTGGTCTCTGAACGAACCAAAATTAGTAGCCAATGTATTTTGCAAAAGCTGGGTTTTGTGATAAACGATGAATCACTTTTTAATGGTACTAAAAGAGTTAATCATCATCAACAACACGTACCTTGCTAACTGGCATGGGCGATCATGCCTATCCACAACCTATGATCAACAGCATATATCAGTTTGTATGCTGACAGGCCTTCACGCCATGACAAAAGCAGTCAAAAATCATCTCATCTTCCTCCATCTCTTTTTCCACAGATCTTACCAGTTCATGTTCAAGTTTCCTTCTCTTAATATGACCAAAAAAGTATGTCACTTTCTAATGTTTGTAATTAGTTGTCTTTAGACTTCTGCCTCTTTCAACAATGCTTCTGCTTAAGTAATAGAAAAATAAGTAAAAGATCACATTGCTGGTGCATCAAGTAAATCTGACATATTTCTATGGACCAACTGGAACTCAATGTGGTAAAAATAACATTGCCCCAACCATCCCTCCAAAACCATTTTTACTTCCCATGATATTTTATAGTACCAAATGTAGGCTGGATAACTGATTTGAAAGAAAAAAAAATCTGCTTTGATGTTAATTCAAGAGCAACTCAGGTAATCCATCAAAACTGATAACAGTTTTCTCTTCCTGTTTCTTTTCCTGTTTTTTTTTAAACTGAACACTAAACACTCCTACAGCAGTGGTTGCCATACTATTACCTGTAATCTAAACATATAGTACAATATCAAACAATACAAAGAAGGGTGCAAAAACACACAAACACAAAAGAATTAATAATGCTACTGGTGGAAAAGACTGCAGACTAGGTACTGCATCTAAACCATGTAACACGAAACAATGCCAGGTGCACAAATACAAGGCACAAACAAACATGAAGAGTTACATTTTATTTCTTGAGAGAATGATGAAAAAGCACTAGAATCTTACAATCAAATCAGCAAGATCTTTACAACATTACAACAATACTGTGAGAGTAATACTTTCTTTTTTAAACAATGTTACATTTTATAGCATATTTTTTTGTAAATATTTATCTTATTTCATTAAGCACTGATTGATTTCATAATAATGAAATGTAAAGTGTGCTGGCACATCATGGAAAAACATTTATACTGTCAGTACTTGGGCTTATTTCTGCTATTTTTCGATTTCAGCTCTCATAAAACAGAAAAAACTCAGATATTAGGAAGAAGAAAAACACCATTATAATGCCCAGCCATTTGAAAATTACCAAAAATTATGGTATAAAAGTAGTTTTCAGAGCTAAAAAAAAATAATCTTTCCAAAACTAGTGGTTGATTACATAGTGGGTATAACAGGCATTAGTTAGGAAAGGCTTAACTAATAATTTTTAACTAAAAATACACAAGGTCGGCCCGTACACCAGACCGACTTGTACTCTGCAGTGCACGGTAACAAATACATGGATGAATGCAGCAAATGTCAGCAGTGATCAATTACTTAAATCTTAAATTGTGCCGTCTCCAAAATGAAGGTTGGTTGCAGTGCAGCCCCAGTCTTTTCCACAGTGCAACTCCTCCCACTGTATAAAGCAAGAAGACTTCGCCTAAACTACCCATCGCGGAAATCACACCCTGGTACGCTGAAGAAGGTATCATGAAATGACTTCACTCGCCACAACCCACAGAGCCATACAGTGTTCATTTGCATCAACACTCGTAAATGCAAGTACAGGCATCTAGAAGAAATTCAAAGCAGAATTTTTCCACTGTTAATTTAAATGATAAGGCCCTTTACCTACTGACACTGTTCGCTGCCTCATTGCTCTAAATCCTTGTGGGCCTGTCTTGGGCTTATAAGTCACCACAATGGTCCTGCTATCGTGCAAACTTATTGTGGAAGACTTCTAAACATGTGCTGAAGGCCACACAGGCTGTGATTTCCATACCATCCTATAGCACAATGTCATAATTATCCTCTAAAAAGAATAAAGGAAACTAACCAAAATCAATGTTAATGCACTTTGTGCTCACATATAGCATAAATGAAAATCAAATAGAAACAAAAGAAAAAAAGAAAGAAACTGTTTCAAACTGATTTCAGCTGTGAATTATTGAAAGGTATATCACAACTTTCAACACAATTCTGTAAAATGTACAGACAGTTTCAATAATATGCTCAATGTAAGGTTACCTCTGTGAACATATGTAAATGATAACAGTAAAATGTTAGTGAAGCACTCATCTTGGCTGAATTACTGGACAGGACCAGCAATGTGACAGCCTATCACATACAGGGTCGATCAGTCAGAGACTAAGTCTCAACATGATATCCAGAATTAGTAACAATATGAGTGATTGGATCTGCAGCAGACAGACAGTATGTTGCAAAGAATTAGCAACAACATGACAAACTGAATCAGTCACAATAGAATTAGCAAAAACATGACAAACCGAATAGATCACAATAGAATTAGTAACATTATGAGAGGTTGAATCAATCAGAGACTTATCAATCAGAGACTTAGTCATAATATATAAAATAGAATTAGTAACAACACTGGAACAAAACTAAGTCAACTAAGTCCAGAAGTGGACAAACAACAACAACTTTCCGCTGGAGTTGACAGCCCTGAATGCAAAAGAAGAAGCCCAATCAGCCAGAGACTTACTCACACTATGTTACATCACACAATATTTTACACAGAATTAGTCATATAAGAGGTTGAATCAATCACCAACATCATAAATCATTACAACATGTTATACAGAATTAGTAACAACCAGAGAGGTTAATCAGTCAGACAGTCATTTTTTGTTTCATAAAATGACTAACAACATGAGGGGTTGAGCTGACCACAAATATAACTAGAAATATTCACAATATGTTATACATAATTTATAACATTAGTGATTGAATAAGTCACAATATGCAAAACAGGATTAGTAAAATCAGACTGAATCAGTTACAATATGTAAAATAGAATGAGTAACATGAGAGACTGAATCAGTTTCAATATGTAAAATAGAATTAGTAACAATGTCAGGAACTGAATCAGCCATATTTGTCAAACAGAATTAGTAACAAGACGAGAGAGGCTGAATAAATTACAAGCAGAAACAGCCATTACATGTAACAAAGTTAGTTTCAAGATGTGAGACTGAACCAGACATAAATAATCTCTAAAACACAATTAAAATAAACAAGAGAGATACATCATTCACAAACAATCACTACAGGTAAAGTAAAGTTAGTAACCACATGACAGACATAAATCAATCACAAAATGATTATGCAATCATAACGAGAAACTGTATTAGTCATAATATGAGTCTTTCACAAGCTCGACCACACAAATATTATCGTTTAACTCCCTTCACAAAATAAGAAACAAAAATATTTGTACAGATGGAAGAAAATCTGCTTAGAACACAAATTTGTCTCATGTTCTCCCCACTGCTACACTGAAAGTATTTTGTTCGGCTGGAATGTAGTCAACAATACTGTTTACCCCAACCAACCTATGTATCAAAAAGATCACCATCGTTTTATTCATCAACATTATGTACCTATTCTTTCCAGAACATAGCCTTCATCTCAGCATGCTAGAAACCCACCTGATCCCTGGTCAACTTTTTTGCCTCATGAACTTTCATGCTCAGTTTCCTAGACATCCTGTGACCACTGTCTAGGTGGTCGACACCTGCCTGTTCTTCCAGAAACCATACAATCCACTAATGTTCTCATAACAATCCACTAATGTTCTCATAAAGACAATTTAATATGGCTAGAAATTTTCAGTTTATGAAACAATACTGTTTATGAGCCAATCCCCCCCTGAATATTCAGATCATGAAAAGTGCAGTATTTTCCTTCTTGATTCAATCACAAGTAGTTTCCATCTTCTTGATTCAATTACAAGTAGTTTCCATCTTCTTGAATCAATCACAAGTAGTTTCCATCTTCTTTGACCAATCACAAAGATCATCATTATCAAGTGCTCAGTGACTGGCATGCGTAAACATGCCTCTGCACAATCTGCGATCAGCAACCGTGTGTATCAGTTTGTTTGTTGACACCCCTCCATGCTATGACAAAAGGCTGTCAAGAATCTTCTCACGTTGTCTTAATCTCTCTCTCTTTCTGCAGATCTTTCCAGTGGTCCCATGTTCCAGTTTCCCTCTTCTCATAACATGACCAAAAATTCACAATGATGCAAACCAAATAAGTGTTACACATGCCATTACATGAGAAATTAAACATTTTTATGAGAAATTGCAACTTTCCATGATAAATGTGTGGGTATTTGTGCTAAAGCGAAAATGCGCTAAACTATCACAATATATAAACAATATATATATGCTAAAAAGTTAACTAATTCCGTACCAAGCAACTCACCATGAGTTTACCAGACTCTACTTGCATACAACTCTGAATCCTTCATTCCGCATCAAGTTGCATGTTAACCCACTCTGCATCAGTAGTTGCTTTTAATCCTCTTTTCTCTTGATGTCAATAATTTAACCCTTTCAGACACAAGTATCTACTGTAATAGTTGCAACTTCTTAGAATATATATAAGTATTATCCACTCTGTGCTAAAACACTTCAACAAAAAGATTAAAGAGACAAATAATCAACAATGTTCTTTCTTATCCAATTTTTAACTAAATGTTCTTTTTTTACCCACTTTTTTGCATACATTTTTTTTTCTTTACCCACTTTTTAACTACATTTTCTTGCTTTACACACTTTTTAACTAAATGTTCTTACTTACCTACCTTTAAACTAAATATTCTTTCTTACAAACCTTTCAACTAAATGTTCTTTCTTACTCACTTTAAAAAAATCTAAAGTTGCTAGCAAAGTAAAGTCACGTCTACCACTGTAACAACAAAAATCTAACAAGCGTCCATAGGTAACATTATTACAGGATTTCTAGTCAACTGAATGGGGGGTGTTCAGTGTTTCGGCTCAATCTCCACAAGAAGATCATCACCTTCAAGCTTCATATCTTTGGTTACCGAAATCAGCTTGACTTTCCCAGTCACTGGGGCACTCACCACCATCTCCATCTTCATGGCACTCAGGACTAGCAGTGGCTGTCCCTTGATGACGTCCTCTCCCTCTGCCACCTTGATGTCGACGACTGTGCCTGGCATGGGAGCCCCGACAGATCCTCGCACACCTTTCAGGGCCTTCGGGTGAACATGGAGTACCTGTGAATTCATTCAGCAAAATGATTCAGTAAAATCCCTGTGTGGGTTTCAGGGCCCCATTGCTGTGTAAATCAAGAGCAGACCCACTGCCTCCCCCAAAAGCCATGTTGTATTAGTCGACTAACTGGGGGGGGGTTTCCTTCGAAGTTGAAGTGTGTCTGCCTGAGAAGCAAGGAACCAAGTGTGCATACAGATAAACCAGATCTGTAAAACAGATGTGTATGCAACGCTCAGGTTCTGGAACATGCCTAAAGTCCAGAGGTGGACGAACAACCAAAACTTTTGGCTGAAGTTTACAGCTGGTGAACGCAAAGAAGAAAAAGATTCAATAAACAGATTTCCATTTGGGATTTTCAGTAAAGTTATGTGGGATTATCAAATATTTTCAGAAAAGTTTCATAAATAAACAAAATTGTTACAATATGGCATTGTCATTAAACAAAAGGATTAATATGTGCGACTTTCATTGAAGAAAAGGGTTACAATGTGGGATTTTAAAAATTCATTCAAGAATATGTAGGATTTATCTATTATTATTTTTATACTGTGGAACTAAAATCAGTTTGCTGAACAACAGGACTATAATGTGAGACCTTAAAAAATTAATTAAACAAAAAGAATACCATGTGGGACTTTCAGTCAATAAAAGGATTATAATGTGGGATTTTTGTCCAAAAAAAAAAAAAAAAAAGATTGCTGAGTCAAGAAAAGGAATGAAAAGTGGGATTTTCTTAAATTCATTCAAGAAATTGGAGGACTCATTCAAGGATTACTGTGGAACACATAAATTCATTAAAGAACAAGATTACAATGAGCAGCTTTCAGTCAAGAAAAGGAATAAAAAGTGGGAATTTTCATAAATCATTAACTTTCAGTAAAGAAAAGGAATAAAAAGTGTTTCATAAATTCATTCAAGAATTTCAAGGATTCATTCAAGAATTACTGTGGAACACATAAATTCTTTTAACAACAGGATTATAATGAGGAACTTCAATGTCCAATACAGGATATGCAACTAACTTTTAACATCCATTAAAAGCAAGAGACAAATGCTATTTTCATCTTTGCTAACATTTATATTGTGGCATGCAAGACGATTTAGTTTTAAAACTGACCTTACTTAGCTCCCAGACTAATCCAGCCTAAATAGGTACCAGGTAATGTCCTGGAAAGTAAAGGTGGCTAGCATTTTCTTTTTCTTCTCTGCGTTTACCAGCTGTAAACTGCAACCAACAACTTACGTCTTGTTCGAGAACATGGGTTTTGCATGCACATCCATTTTACAGATCTGGCTTATTTATACGCAGACTACTGGTTCCTTGCCTCTTAGATAAACACACTCTGACTTTGAAGAAAACCCTTAATTAGCCAGCTCCTACCTTACAATTATTAGGGAAGCTGTGGATCTAGCATTTATGATTATTAATAGAGAATATTTAGTCTAGTCATAAATGATCTAGCTAAACTTCACGCTCACCTTTTGTGCTTCCTCATCTCTAATTCTCACTGCCCGCAACTGACCATTCAGCTCAAAGAAAACCTCCCGGGTTCCTGAAGCACTGAGGTCACCAACAGCCAGAGTTACAATGGACAGATTTTTGCCTTTCTCCAGGCTAACCTGTAAATGTTTTAATCAACAATCAACATTTTAGTTTTCAAATGAAAGAATTAAGGAACACGATCTGGATTTAAAAAAAAAAAAAATTAATCTCTTCTTTCTTATAAATTAATCTTGCAGTCGAAATATGTCAGTAATGGTTGTACAGTATCTGTTTGTTTCTTTCTTCAAACACATTAAAAAGCTGAATAATGGAGAGATAAATATTGCTATGAAAGGCAGAACTATACAACACTAGTAAATTTCTTATTTTTCTGCGCTTTTCTATTCTGAAGCATAGGCCTTAAACCAAATCAAGACAAGCAATCTTTTTTTCTTCACTTTCTGCAGCTTCCCAAATCTATTTCCCATATTACTCTCTTTTCTGATATTTCTCTGTCTCTCATTTTCTCTAATAGAATACTGGGAAAATGACAGTCAACCTGTCTATTATAACAGTCAACAACTCACATACAAATATGACAATCAAAATGTCCTACTGGCAGTCAAAATCTGACAGATGCAAGGCAAAAAAAGCCCTAACACATGACAAGTATCTCACCTCAAGTTCAGAAGCAATTTTGGGTCCTACAAGAAACGTTTTTGTATCAAGTTTATCCACAGGCCCAAATCTGTTTCTGAAATCTAAGTATTCATCAGTTACCTGTGGAAGAAGAGATATGCTCAGTCATAAGTTGAGAGAAATGAGTGGGAAAACATGCAGGTATACATAAACTGAATGTGCAAACAGAAATGAGAACAACTACATTATTTTTAGGATCACTGTTGCTAAATTTCTTTGACTTATGCTCTGAAGATCATCAGTTCATATCATGGACTGCCTTTTTTATGAGTACAGACTGCCTTGTTTATGAGTACAGACTGCATTGTATATGACTGCAGTTTCAACAGAAATTGTTGGGGACTGTTGCTGGAGTTAGAGTTCATGGGGGACCGCAGCTGGAGTTAGAGTTCATGGGGACTGTCGCTGGAGTTGGAGTTCATGGGGACCATAGCTGGAGTCAGAGTTCATGGGGACCGTAGCTGGAGTTAGAGTTCATGGGGACTGTAGCTGGAGTTAGAGTTCATATGGGACCGTAGCTGGAGTTAGAGTTCATAGGGACCGTAGCTGGAGTTAGAGTTCATGGGGACCGTAGCTGGAGTTAGAGTTCATGGGGACTGTTGCTGGAGTTAGAGTTCATGGGGACTGTAGCTGGAGTTAGAGTTCATATGGGACCGTAGCTGGAGTTAGAGTTCATAGGGACCGTAGCTGGAGTTAGAGTTCATGGGGACCGTAGCTGGAGTTAGAGTTCATGGGGACCGTAGCTGGAGTTAGAGTTCACGGGGACCATCGCTGGAGTTAGAGTTCATGCTTTGTGAGGTGATCTTAGTGGGCAACTAGCATTTCTGTGAAGAGAGCCTAGGCTACGTTGGATAAAACCTTGTATAATGAAATTGATCCTCTCAATTTTTAATGTAAAAACTGCTTACACCTTTTCCTCGAATAACAAGCTATGCAACTTAATGACCATCTGCAATTTCGACCAGAGAAACAAAAAATAAATAAAAATAGTGATTTCAGGTTGTAGTTTTGTTACATAATGTACAATAATTATACGTATATAGGTTGAATTTTTGTGTTTTATGTACAATTTTTATAATAAGTTTGAATGAAAATGATGTTGGAAAATTAAATCTGACTTAACAACTAGTTCAACTCATGACAGAACTCGGCCGTGAGTCGAGGAGACCACGTATTGACAACTAGGTTTTACCATTTATGTTTTTTTAACAGATAAACACATCAAGTATGCATCATACTGTTCCGTTTACCCCCTTCGGGCTGCTACCTGAAGGTTTAACAGCCTGAGATTGACAAAATCTATATCTGGATGGCAGACCAACAGGGCAAATCCCAGATACCTGCTTCAACATCCAAGAAAGAACAACTGGGGTACCAGTGATGATTATACCATACTGGTTTAGCCTGCAGTCTTGTAGGAGTAAGATATAATGAAGTCTAAATGTATATGGACAAATATGTCTGCTCTCCACATCAGTAGTTTTTTTTTATTTTTATTTTACGCCTCATGAGCATATGTGTTGCCTTATGTATGACTGTATAAAATATGTGTATTTTTTAAAAAAAAAAGTTGTACAACACACTTTTGTAATACAGTTAAATCATCTAAAAAAGAAAAGAAAAGCAAATAAAGACATTTAAAAAAAAGCTAATTCCTGAAGAGAAATGATTGTCTACATCAGAAGGACGAAATCTACATTATTTAGTCATGTCATGATTAGGAGAAAACCGGAGTACATGATGACAGTTGGAAGGTTGGATGGCAGGCACAGAGGCCCAGGGAGGCAGAGAGAGAAGATGCTGGATGTTTGATTTTATGGCATGGAAGATCATCTGTGCCAGAATTGACAGAAAGTAAACGAGACATAGGGTTGTGGGTATACATGATTACTGATGCCACACGGCACTGACTAAGAAGACAAACACTCATTTACCTTGGGGTAGAGGGCTGCACTCATGACATCTTCCTGTGTGATGAAACCTCCATACTTATCAGTCAGCTGGTCTTTTAGGGCCTCAAAATCCAGGGGAGGTAATGTAGCACCAGGACGTCCCTCTACTTTCTTAAGTCCCTTTAAAACCTGCAGAAACAGGAAGTTGTGTGAAACCACCATCCAGTTGATTTTACCTATAATGCTAAACCAACAAATATGTAATAACTTTGTAAATATGTTATGTCATCATGATTTATGTCATTGTACACTGGGAGGATGAACTAAGATAACGAGCCGGAATTAATATACATGAGAGTTTTAAAACAGAGAAAAGCAGTCTTCACATAAGGAGGGGATCACCACTTGTGAAAATGTACGAACAATAGACTTTTGGCTTATACAGCATACACAGTGACTGTAGACATGGATTAGAGAACATTAATTCAAATTATTTATTACATATAGAGTAACGAAAGGTTTAAAAAAAAATAATCAGAGGTTCTGCAAAGACCGGGGGGAAAAATAATTCCAAAAAGGCGCGCACGCGCACACATACACAAAGAGAGACAAGTCAAATATTTTAGCCACACCAAAAGACATAATACTCTTCCAAATACTGGAGACAAAAGTTGAAGGCAGGCAAGTTGAGAGGCATAAGCTCTATAAAGTGACACAAGCAGAAGGATAACATCAAGAGAAAGACGAACAGCAGTCTGAGAAAGTGTGAACCCTTTTGCCTTGAGAAGCCTAAATCTAGTAACTTCGGGGTGTTCGACGTCCCCATAAATGTCGATATATAGCTATGTCTGCAGTGTCCTGTTCTCGAAAAAGCATAGTTCAATTCCAATGGTTCAATTTGTGCCTGTGCAGCATTTAATAGAATAAGCTATAAATACAGCAGCTAGAAATAGCTTTTATGAATGTTTCTTATGGGTTTTTTAAAAGCCATGTTGATATAAAAATGTTCCAGTAAGCCACAGTGATAGAGGTCAGGGCATGATTCACCTGACACATTTCTATTTCTTCAAGCCCTGGCAATACATTCTATTTAATGCTTCATTCTGTTTGTGCTTACTGATTACTCTTCCCCAGGAGTTCCAAGGAAAGACAGAATATGAAATCACAAAATCAGACAAATGCTAGGAATAAAGCCAGTCTTACAGGTCATCAAAGAACAACAAATGAAGTGGTTCAGACACCTAAGAAGAATGCCCTGGTACTGTCTGCCACAGTGAGCCACACTAAAATGTTACAACGGGTATAGAGCGAGTGGAAGATCTTGGAAAACATGGAGTGATGGCATTAAGAACAGCCTTACATAAATGAGTATCAGTCTTAGTAGTGCTCTTGACAGAGCTCATCAATGAATGTTACATGTCCCCGGACACACTTCACTTAGGTACAAGGTTGAAGAGACAAAGAAGATTACCCTTTTATATATTTTTATAAATTTTTTTAAACGCAGATAAATAAACTTTAAAATCATGTAATAGTGTAGGATTTTCCACAAGAAATTACTAGAGTTTATGACTTTTTTAGCATTCCCAGTGTGAAATATTTAAATTAGGGCACAGGACAGAGCATGCTGGAGATCTGATGCAGTCATCCTTCCATGTGGAGAAATGCACTGACAAATGTGAACGCAATGGCTGGTGCTGACCCTAACAGTGATTCAGTTCTTTTCTCTAAACCCTGTTCTGCCTTTCAGCATCAGGTATTGAAGAGACATGTGGTGTGAGCCTGGATGTATGCGACCTAGATTCTGGAATTCATGGCCTTATCTATTCCCTCACTTGCAAGGGCAATCTTTAGCTCTGCGTCTGGTGTGTCTGAGCGACAAGGCTCTGTGTGGTGCACTGTCTTGTGGTTAGTAGTTCTGACAGCAGTTCTTAGCAGCACTGGCACCATCTTAAACTGTTTCCTGATATCGTCCGTTTCCAATCAGGTCTCTTCTTGTTACATTTAGGAATCGTCATTTACGTTTCATTTGAGATGTTTGGATTTTTCTTTCCCCCCTTTTTCCCCATGTTTTACACTAAATAAGATTGAAAAGAAAGAAAAACAGCAGTTGAGAACATTGGACTCAACAAAGACATCATGCTATAAGATGCAGAAATTCAAATACAATATACAGTGATCAGGTAAGATGAGAACATTAGATTTAGTTTACATGTTACACTGACCCTGGTCCTCAAAGGCTCTGGATAACCTCCTGGAGGCTCTCCCAAGAAACCCTGGAAGTATTCCACCACTGAAGAAGGGAAAGATAACTCTGATGCCTTTTCCTCCACTAACTCTGCAGTCAATTTATTCTGGACCATAAACTGAGCCATGTCACCGACAACTTTGGATGATGGAGTTACCTAAAGATACAAACAAAACAAAGAAATAAAACAAAACTTCACATTACAATTTCAAAGCATAAAACAGAACATACAGCTAGTTTAGTTTCTCAAGGATATACCCCCCAAAAAAAAATTGCACAAAAACTTAAAAGACAAGTCTTCTTCCTCTTTTGTTCACTTTACTATATCTAAAATGCTTTCTTTTGCACAAATTTCCCTATCTTTCTTAGTTCATTCAATGGTCAGTGAAGTTTTAATTTTCAGTGTGGTTTTTCTATGGTAAATGGTTTGCCATAATTTATAATATGCAGATAAAACATATTTTTGCCAGCTATTGAATACATGGTTGCCAACAAATCCTAAAATTAAATGGGTCCTTGTTTGATGAAGATGTTTTCAACAGCAGGAAATGCATACTCTTGGAAATAATCCTATAAACAAAGTTTAAAAACATTAACATCAATTCAGTTGTATTAAAATTACACAAGGACAAAACTTCTCTAGTATAATCTTGAATTAAAAGGTTAAAATAAAGCATAAATTAAAAAGTTAAAAAGCCAATCTACTGTACCCTAAATCAGTCGTGCATAGGTCTACGAAAGCCAATATTCAATCTAAATCATTCTTCTTCTGCCTTTTTATCCCCCAATGGAGCATAGGCCCTCAACCAACTCACGCCAAGTCGTTCTATCCTTTGACATTACATGGAGCTCTCCCCATGTCCTCCCAATCTTTCTAACCTCATTCTCCAGCTCTCTTCTCCATGTGTTTTTTGGCCTTCCTTTATTCCTATGCCCCTGTGGGTTCCAATGCAAAGACATTCTAGTTATGCTGTTCTCCTGTTTTCTCAGTGTGTGCCCTATCCAACGCCAGCGTCTTTTCCTCACCTCCTGATCCACTGGAGCCTGTTTAGTTCTCTCCCAAAGTTCTACATTAGTTATTCTATCATACCATTTTATTCCCTCTATTCTGCGCAGGCACCAGTAATGAATGTCTGTAATTTATTAGTAATTGCCTTCGTTGTTCTCCATGTTTCCGCCCCATACAATAGTACTGATTTGACATTAGAATTAAAAATTTTTAGTTTAGTATTTCTTTTAATTTCTTTTGACCTCCACAAATTCCCTAGTGCTATGAAAGCCCCTCTTGCCTTTTGTATTCTTATTTTAATATCTCTATCAGTTCCTCCATCTTTATCTACATTACTGCCTAAATAGGTATTACATTTTTTAAAAATCCGTTCATCCCTAAATCATGTGGTGTGGGTGCTCAGAACCTGACATTCATGAGAAAAACTTTATATCAATTACCTTTTCACAGTGCAGTTGCCTCAATGAATGTTGGCTGCAATTGATCTCTAACAATCTTTGCCTCTTGCCCAGTATGTACTCACAGAATGCTGTTTGTTGATGTTATCTTTTTACTTGTACCATTGTCCACCTCCTGCTCATCTACCTTTAACGTTTCCTTAAGTATCGCTTTGATGACAGTGTTATGTATTTTAATGTGGCCAAAACATTTCACTTGTCCCCTTTTTACTTCTAGAATTCACTGTCAAGAGCAAAGAGCATCAGTATGGATTACATACAGACAGTAAGCTGGAACCCAGATTCTATAACGACCCTCATTAGCAACATAAAGAGATGGAAAATGTTGATACTAACCTTAGGTATATCTCCAAGGAGTTTGTTGGCAACAGAGTACACTTTCTTGATCTCTTCAAACTTATCAGCTAAGCCTAGACTGAAGGCCTGGAACTGAAGGTTAGTGTACTGTCCACCTGGCAAAGGAAATAACAAAATGAATGGGGGGAAAACCAGGGGGGAAAAAACAAAGGAATAAATAAAGTTAATGCACCACAAACAAAATCAATGAAGTAATAAACAACAGAATTAATGGATATAATCTACAAAAAATAAATGAAATAATCAACACAATGAGTGAAATAATCAACAATAAAATCAAAAGAATAATTAAAAACACAATATGTCATCCAATATAGGGGTTCTGGGGGGAGAAGTCAAGTGAGTAGTAAGTAAGAGGCTGTAAGATAATAATGGTCGGATAACCAAAAAACAGATAAAGAGAAGTACTCTCTGTTGGGGGGAGGGAAGGGGTGGGGGTCTAGAGATCAAATGCACATACAATCTTCACTGTGGAAATGACTTAAATGACTGACTGAGTGAATAACAAATGACTGCTTTTTTTTTTTTAAATTATCAGTGCAGCTGAAGGGTCAATCAAGCTTCATAAAATGGTACAAGCGAAATGGGAAAGTAAAGCCATACTGTAAATTACCAACTATTTTACCCCAAGTATGCCAAAGGTATAGGAACACGCACAACAATATCCTGAGGTTTCGGAGGTGTGGTTTTACAGAAGAATCCTTAGAATGCTAAGAAAAGCAACCCAGATGTTTTGAAAGAGGCGAGTGCTCGAAGACAACTTACCATAAACATCAAAAAGAGACAGTCATAATTTTTTGGTCATGTTATAAGAGAAAAAAATGGAACATGTTGTGACCAGTGGAAAGATCTGTGGAAAGAAAGAAGGAGGAAGACAGCATGAGAAGATTCTTTTGTCATGGCATGGAGGGGTGCCAGCACAACAACTGATACATGCAGTTGCAGATCTCAGATTGTGGAGAGGCCTGATCGCCCACTGCAGTCGGCAAGGCATTTGATGACGATGATGATGACAGGAACCTGTCTCGCCTCAAACACATGGTGTCAGCCTTTTTTCATACAGACTAGTAGGCAACTAATGAAAGCTAATAAATGACACTATTCGTACGAACTTTATGCTATCACTGCCAGACATGCACAGTAATATGGGGCTGAGTGATCTCAAGGCATGGCGTCCACCTCGAGTGCTGGAGGTCCCAGGTTCAAACCCAGAGGAAGGCTGGGATATTTTCATGTGGACTTCTAGTAATTTCCCCTCGTCTCTGGGGTAGTAAATCAGATGCTGTAAAAAATCTCTTGGCAGTTGGAAATTGAAATGATTAGCCTAACGGTGCTGCCCATGCAAAATTTTGAGTTTAAAATCCACCCAAAGTATTTTAGGATCCTCACCGGTGCTACAGAGTTCGTGCACTACACTGAGATTCTTCGGACTCACGCTTGAGTTAGAAGTAGAACAGTGCACTTATGGGTTACCACCCTTGTGTCATGAAGTTGATCCATTGTATAAACAAACAAAAATATGGACAGTCCTAATGAAACATAAATGTAAAATCACAACATGTGAGATGAGAGGTATAAGAAATGCGGTGGGGAAAAAGAAAAAGAGACAGTCACCAATGAAGAATTAAAAACAATGGTAGGCACAGTTTTGGTAAATGACTATTTAACAGAACATCAAATGGTTTGGTTGTCTGGTCAGAAGGAAACACAATCTGCAGCTGTTAGAGCATACTACATGAAAACAGGAGGCCACAAGTCAACCGACTGATGACAAAAGAGAAGAGTGGTGGGAATAAAAGAAACACTACAGAAGTACAATATCACAATAATACAAGCTATGCATCTAGCAAAACACAGGAAACTACATCTAACCCATACTACATGAAAACAGGAGGCTACAAGTCAGCCGACTGATGACAAAAGAGATGAGTGGTGGGAATAAAAGAAACACTACAGAAGTACAATATCACAATAATACAAGCTATGCATCTAGCAAAACACAGGAAACTACATCTAACCCATACTACATGAAAACAGGAGGCTACAAGTCAGCCGACTGATGACAAAAGAGATGAGTGGTGGGAATAAAAGAAACACTACAGAAGTACAATATCACAATAATACAAGCTATGCATCTAGCAAAACACAGGAGACTACATCTAACCCATACTACATGAAAACAGGAGGCTACAAGTCAACCGACTGATGACAAAAGAGATGAGTGGTGGGAATAAAAGAGACACTACAGAAGTACAATAATACAAGCTATGCATCTAGCAAAACACAGGAGACTACATCTAACCCATACTACATGAAAACAGGAGGCTACAAGTCAGCCGACTGATGACAAAAGAGATGAGTGGTGGGAATAAAAGAGACACTACAGAAGTACAATATCACAATAATACAAGCTATGCATCTAGCAAAACACAGGAAACTACATCTAACCCCTCTCTGAAACAATGGCATAAGCAGTAGGACGAGAACTAGTCTGCAGTTGACATCACATCAACCATACTAACCCACCACCCCACATGAGATTTCCTATCTATTTTAAGCTGAGCTGAAGTGTGAGCTTAGATCGAGTCTCGAAATCTATAAAATATGGATTTGAATCTATGACTGTTCAGACTTGCAGGGCATTTTTTCCAGCTACTGCACTACCACTGGGGATAGGGGGATGTTGAGCAAAGAATACTCACTTTACCATAACAAGCCATATTGGTAAAAGACAACTAATCAATTAATTGAAAGGGGGGGGGGGGGGGGGGGGGGGGGGGTTGCTGAAATTGGATGTACTGGGACAAAAGATGTAGATAATGCATCACAGCTGTCAACCCTCAAACAATTTGTAAAATGTCCTTTAAAAGGCAAACACAGAAGCATAAGAAGAATAGGCTTAATCCAAGATTGTGAACACCCCTTAGATTTGCAAATGAGGTTTACTTGCAATCTGATTGATCTTTGCCGGTGATAAGACTGTTTAAATTCTCCTTGTGAAACCTATCTTTTTATTTTCTTTCTGCGTTCAACCTTAAAAGAGCAACTGGCCTGTTTTGTTATGTTTACAGCTAGGCTGTGACATCTGCATTCTCCCAGCCCAACACATCTGATTTCAATGAACCCTTATTTAGTCCTGTTTACAACATGCTTGTTTAGGGGATTAATCAAGTGAACTGTGACCAAAAAACTCAATGAAATGAGGAAGCAAAATAAAATACATTAAACCAAGGGATCAAGTGAGAAACTATAAAAAGGTGATGTGGAATGCATAAAATAAAATAAAATAAAATTTAGAAGCTAAAAAAATAGTAATGGTGATAGTATATAATAGTAGGAATAAAATAGTATTAGAAAAACAAATGTTAATGATCCATAACGGTTGCTGACAAGCGACAGGATAAATTAATAATATAAAATAAAATAAGTATTAAAATAATACAATTAAAAATAACGTGACAATAGCAAAACTGTTTAGATAAAGGTATGCTGGACATTGCTGCCCCCTGGACTAAGGACACCTAGACTGTGGATGAAGCGATTTCCCAAAGGGAGGGAAATTGGTTTTCTGTTTTCTTATCCAGTATAGGGAATCAGGAACCAGCATGGGGAAGGAAATCTATGAGACTGAGCATTATTGTAGGCATCCATGTGTTATGAAGGAATCCTTTACTCAAAAATGTTGTTTAATAATCTTCAACAAAAAATGGCTGATATTTAAATAAAGGTTTCAACCTGGAATTTCATTCTTGTAGATGTCTGCATTTCCGCTCTTCATTGTTGTTGAACATTCAAATGGGCCATACAGATTGCGGGCCTGTTCCCAGTAGGCAGAATATGCAGATACTCGCTCCAAGTCCAAACCTTAACAGGGATAAAAGACAAATTTCATGTCAAGAAAAGAGATAACAATGTGTTTCAATTACAGTAATTATATATTATTCATCATTCTGTAATTAAAAGATGTGCTTCCCTTAAAAAAAGTTTTAGTTAAATGTCCTTTACAGTACATTGCAGAACTAAACCGAGCATTTTTTGGCTGTTGTGGTTTTTCTAGGCAAACTTACGTCCAGTAGTTTGCCATTGTTTTCTGGATGGTCGGCTTCTCAATACCACTGTTGAAACCAACGCAAGGCACAAGGCCCACAGCTGGGATTGAACCTAGCACCCTGGCATTACAAAGAAGCATATTATATTCAAGGCATATTATTTAATACCTATTGTATTTTTGTTTAAAAAAAAAAAAAAACAGGACTCATAAACGTCGTAATATACTATTTTTGGCACATAACTGATTGATTATTGTTATTTTCAGTCTGCATTGCTTTAGTTTGTGCAGATAAAAAGAAATGGTTGTGAACTTGCATTTTACTTGGTTTAAAAAAAAAGGTATTTCTTCTTCTTCTTCTTTGCGTTCGGTTTCGTATGCTCAGATCAGACCATCAGGTGGGATGCTTCTATGAATTTGCATGTCAGTAGCAGGTCCTTCATGGTTCCCCATAGCTTGCTCTGCACACTTTGCTCTTGAGACCAAGTGTCTTTTCGAAGTTGTAGGTAGAGTGGGCAGGTCTGCAGAATGTGCTCACTTGTTTGTGGTCCTGTCTGACAGGCACACTGTGGGGACTGTACAATCTTTATTTTACGCATGTGGTAGTTGAGCCTGCAGTGTCCTGTTCGTAGACGGAAAATTTTTTCATGTTGCTTTCTGTTGATGGGGTCTTGTGGATGTTTACTGTTAGTTTGTTCTCTCCACAATACTTTGTATTTTCCCTTGAAAAGTGTTCTGATTACTGGTAATGACAATGGATGGGTGTGTTGTTTCTCCTTTGTTTCATTTTTTAGCAAGTCTGTCTACTAACTCATTTCCTGGTATGCCGCAGTGAGCCGGGATCCAATGGAAAACGATCTGATTGTTTTCTGCGAGTCAGTTTAGCTGGCGGATCAGTTCTCTTTCCATGTTGTCTTATGGATCCCTCTGAGTCACCTGGAGAAAACTGACATGAGGTCACAAAGGGAAAACTGTTTTGAATTGTTCTTTCTTCAAGCAATTAAGCTGAATCAATAATTGCTTGCTGCTATGCTCTGAAGTTTTCAATGGGTGAAATGTTTCTTAAATTTATTTGTCTCATTTTATTTAAAGTTATAGCTGAGAGGATGGACTTCAGTGTATCAGGTTATCTATCCCTATGGTTCAGTCTCTCTCTTCCCAGAATGCCAAGCCACCTATAGAGAGCATCACACAAAGCATGAACTCTGTGGCTCCAGTGATGATTCTCAAGAATCTCAATAAAAACTGAATTTGTGAATCGAACGGCTTGTCCAGGAAATGAACCCATGACCTTTAAGAGCAGAAAGAAAATGGTTTGACCACTCTGCCATGAAGACCCCGCTCATTTTATTTAATTATTATTATAGTAAGCACATGAGGAGATCCCGTGGGATACACAAGGAAATAAACTGCAAATTTCATTATTACTGTCTTATGTGTTGAAATCATTATAATGATTATAAGTAATTGACAAACAAAGACTAGTGAGTTAAGAAAGAATGGATGAGATAAGAAAACTGTACACAATATTGATAATTTGAAAAGGTATCTAGAATGTGCTAAAAAAAATTTTTTTTTTAAAGATGACATCAAATGAACTTAAAAAATAAAACAGAGGAGAAAGACAAGAACTCCATTCTCAAGATAAAAAGAATTGACGATTTTATGTATGGTTAAGTTATGATAAGAGGAAAACTGGAATATGGCAGCAGTAGAAAGATTTGTGGACAGAGAGAGATACAGGAAGAAAACGTAATAAGATTCTTGATAGTCATTTCAAAGGAGGGGTGTCAGCATACAAACTAATAAATGCTGTTGGAGATCGCAGGTAGTGAATAGGCATGATCACCCACACCAGTCGGAAGGTGCTTGTGATGATGATGATGATGATGATGATCTTTTTCTTAGCATTGTGGCTGTAAACTCCAGAGTAAAGTTCTGGTTGTTTGTCCACTTCCAGAGTCTGGTTTTGTTCCAGAATTTGAGTTTTGCATGCACATCAGTTTTACAGATCTGGCTTACTTAAATGCAGACTTTTCATTCCTCTCCTCGCCTCTCAGGCAGATGCACTCTGACTTAAAGGAAACATTCCTAATTAGTCACCTTTTACTACATGCTTTTTTTTTCTTTAACCATATGCAGTGAGCCTGTTCTTGTTTCATCCAATTTGGGAACCACACAGGAAGGATTATGAAATTTATCATTTGGTTAAATGGGTGATCAATCACATCATGACCACCTACCAGTATCATACTCTGTTCGTTCTAAAGATGCCACCACAGCTCCCATGCTTGGCTGTGACGTGAGTCCTGACATTGAGTCCACGGCAACATCCACAACATCTGCGCCCGCCTGAGCTGCTGCCAACATGGCAGCAACACCTGCTCCAGAGGTATCGTGAGTGTGCACATGGATAGGTGTGTCTGGGTATTTGTCCTTTAGAGTCTGAATCAGCAGTGTCGCAGCTTTGGGTTTCAGCAACCCGGCCATGTCCTGGCAGACAAAGGTGTCATTTTGTTTATAAAACATCACACAGAAGGACTGGACATGGAAATCAACAAGAGAATGTAATATGAATTAAAGAATTTAAGCTATGAATTACTTTAAACATAAGCAACACAGGACATTTTTACTATGCCTCTGACCTAAAAATATCACCCACAGATATAAACTGAAATTACACACAGGCTGAAACTATTACTGACAGGCTGAAATTATCATATGCAGGTTGAAACTATTGTAGACAAGCTGAAACTATTGTACACAAGCTATTGTAAGTAAAATAAAGTAAAGGTCCCTTTTCAATGCCTTTAGGTGTATAGGGCATATAGGGCTAGACCTATATTTTTATAGACCAATCGGCACATGAATGGTTGATGTGGTTAGCCTCGCGCCGGCTGCCTTTACTTCCCGCGACTGCACCTGGTACCCACTCAAGGCTGGGTCAACTTGGGAGTCAGGTCATTTTTGAAAAAAGTCTGGCTCCACTAGGGAGCGAACCCACAACCTTCCCATCAGCAAACGAGCGTCTAGCTGCTACGCCACGGTGACTCCCTTTGTGCACAAGCTGAAACTATAATATGCAGGCTGAAACTATAAGATGTACACAAGATGAAACTATTGTACACAAGCCTATACTATCACTGACTAGCCTAAGTAATCCTACACAGACTGAAAACATCACTGATTATCTAAACTATTTACACATCATCATCATTTCTCGCTGTGCCTAGTGGCACATGAGGCTTCAGAGAGGACTTTCCATGCTTTCCTGTCCTGTGCAATCTTCAATGCAGTTTTCCATGTCAAAGATGCCACGCTCAGGTCATTTTCCAGCGTTCGTCTCCATGTTTTTTTGGGGCACCCCTTTTTTCTCTTTCCCTATGGTATCCACGTGAGAGCTGCTTTGGCAGGTATATCAGGATTCATTCTCATAACGTGGCCAAGCCATTTCCATCTTCTCTTGGTTATCATACTGTCTAGAGTTTCTTGGTTTGTGACTTGGAGTATAGTGTTTAAGATTGCATCTGGCCAGAAAATTTTGATAATTCTACGTAAACATGTGTGGTGGAAGGTGGACAGCTTGTGTACATCCTTTTTGATCATTCTCCAGCATTCTGCTCCATAAAAAAGAACTGGCAAAATGATGCTCTTGTAGAGTCGGAGTTTTGTTCCTCTGCAGTAACTGTTGGATTTCCAGATTTGCCTCATCCTTCCAAAAGCATCTCTAGCTTTGTTCAGGCGTGACTGTATGTCTTCCTCTGTCCCTCCCAGTAGGGACACCACACTGCCAACATATGTGAAATGTTCTACATTTTCAAGTGATTGGTTACTTATGGTCACTGGTTGTTGGTTTGGACTGCTTTTCATGATCTCAGTTTTCTTTGTATTTATTATCAGTCCCACCATTTCTGCTGTGCTGTGTAGTCTGTTACTTTTCTCTTGTATATGTTCATATTTATGTGATAGGAGTGCTATATCATCTGCAAAATCAAGGTCCTCTAGCATGGTGAACGGAGTCCATCGTATGCCTTTCAATGTCTTGTCTACTGTGTTTTTTTTTTATCCAATCAATCACAAGGTTGAAGAGGATAGATGACATGACACATCACTGTCTTACACCCGTCTTTACTGGGAAAGATGTATTGTAATTTTTTATACTGCAGGAAGTCTTTATAGAAGAGAGCAATTATGTTGACTATCTTTTCTGGAATTACATAATGTTGTAAAATTTTCCACAGACCGTCTCTATGAACGTCAAAAGTTTTCTCAAAGTCCACAAAATGAATAAATATACTTCTCTGCCATTCATTGCATTGTTCTAAAATATTACGTAGGGTTCAGATGTGCTCAGTTGTTCCTCTGCCCTTTCTGAATCCTGCTTGTTCTACTCGTAGGCATTTATCTACACCTTTTTCAAGCCGCATTATGATGATTTTACAAAATATTTTGCTTGGTACTGAGAGTAGAGTAATTCCCCTCCAATTATTGCAGTCTGTTAAATCTCCTTTTTTTGGGGATTTTGACTATTGTTCCTTCAGTCCAGTCATCAGGCAACACTTCATTTTCCCAAATATCCTTGAACAATGGTTCTAGAATGTTAGCAGTTGTGTTGGGATCTACTTTGAGAAGTTCTGCTGACAGTTCGTCTTTGCCTGGTGCTTTGTTGTTCTTTAAAGTGTGGATAGCTTTAGGGATTTCTTGTTTGCTTGGTGGTTCAGTAATAATGTCAATGTCCTGAGAGGCTGGTTGAATATCTGGGGGATTTTCAGGATCAGGTCTGTTCAAGAGGTCAGAGAAGTGTTTAGTCCACTGCATGTCTTGTTTGTGTTCTGTGGTAATCAGTTTGCCTTGGTTATCTCTGATAATTGTTTCTGCTTCTGCAGATTTGTTGCGTAATTTTGTGTAGGGTTTGTAGATCATGTGCTTTAGCAGCATTTTCTGCTAGATTTTCCATAAATCTTCTCTTGTCAGTTCTGGCACTTTTCTTTATCATTTTATTAAGTTCACTATATTCTAACATCAATTTGCCTTTCTGACATTCTGATTTAGTGTGATTTATGAGGTTCTTTATTCTTTTTCGCTTGGCAATATACTCCATGGTTTGACTGCTTATCCATTCTTTGTGGTGTTTTTTCCTGGTTCCTAATATGTTATTGCTAGTTGTTTTGTATGTTTCTTTGATCTGGTTCCATCTGTCTTGAATGCTGATTACAGTTTGACTGTCTGGGTCACCTGATGGAGTTTGAAATCTATTCTTGAGTTCTACTATAAATTTAGTGGCAATGTCTTTTTCTCCTAATAGGTTAACATTGTAGCGTGCTGTCTGTATCTTAGCTAGTGTGTGAACTTTTTGAAGTTTAAGTCGTAGTAGAGCAACTATAAGGTGATGATCACTTCCCACATCTGCTCCCCTTTTGACACGTACATCGAGTAGAGACCCACATCATTTTCTGTTTACCATGAAATGGTCGATCTGGTTTACATCTCTTCTGTTTGGGGATATCCATGTAAGCTTGTGTATATTCTTTTGAGGAAATAGTGTTCCTCCTATAACAAGTCAATTCGCCATGCAGAAGTCGCTCAGTCTTTCTCCGTTGCCATTAATTGTACCACATCCTTAATTTCCCATTGATAATTCTCTATTCAAGTTGTTGTTACCAACTTTTGCATTGAGATCTCCCATAATGCATAGAATATCTTGGGCTGGTACTTTATCTACTACCTCATGCAGTCTCCTAAAGAATGTTAATCTTCATCTTCAGCTTCATTAGTCGGTGCATAGCACTGGATGACTGTAAGTTTGGCATGTTTGCCATTGAATCGTGCTGTCATTATTCTTTCATTGATTGGATGCCACTCGATGAGATGTTTGTGTATACCTTTCTTTAAAATAAGTGCCAGGCCTGCGGAATGTAGGTTATCATCTCTTCCAGAGTAAACTATTTACACAAGCTGAAATTATCAAAATAAAAAACAGAATAGGACAGGCAAAAACTGCACTTTATAAAATGAAGAACATCTTGTGCAATATACATCCAGTTATAACATATGGCTGTGAATCCTGGACAATCGGTAGGCAGGCCAAACTATTTCTAGAGGCCTTAGAGATGTGGTTTTACAGAAGAATGCTTAGAATACTTTGGACAGGCAAAAAAAGCAACCAAGAAGTTTTGAAAGAGGCGGGAGCCTGATAACAACTTATCACAAATATCAGAAGGAGACATCATTTTTGGCCATGTTATGAGAAGAGGGAAAATAGAACATGTTGTGACCACTGGAAAGACCTGTGGAAGGAGAGAGAGAGGAAGACAACGAGAAAAGATTCTTGACAGTTTTGTTGTATGATACAGAGGTGAGTTAGCATACGGACTGATACATGCTGCTGGAGATGACAGATTGTGGAGAGGCATGATTGCCCAAGTCAGTCGGCAAGGCGCCTGATGATGATGATGACGATGATGAAATTATCAAATAAAAATTGCAACTATCACAGACAAGCTTAATTTTATTATATAATGTGGATCTTACACTGAATCAAACAGTATCTTGAGGATACAAGCAAAGTACTACATGGCATAGAGCTGAGCTTGTGTTAACAAATAAACCAGATCAAATTATATAAAAGCCTCTACCTTAATGCACAAGACATGAGTCCCAGCTTTGATAAGTTCACCAGCCAAATTGACATAGTAATCCAGGTTGTATTTCTTCTTGGAAGGGTCAGAGACATCTCCAGTGTAAGACATGGCTGCCTCAACTACTCCTCCTGTCAGATCAATGTGTCAACATTAGAGATATTTTAAAAGAAAAAACAAACTTGTTTAACTGGGTATATCTTCAGATGTTAACCTTCCCATGTTAGTTCCAGGTCCCCATTTTTGGAGGAAACAGTTCCACTGCCTTCCTAACAAGCGTGGCGTACAATGCCACTAATTAGGGGTTTTTCCTTCAAAGTCGGAATTTTGGAAGTGAAAAACCAACAGTCTGCATACAAATAATCCCCATCTGTAAAATGGATGTGCACGCAAACTCAAGTTCTGGAAAAAGTCCAGAAGTGGACAATTAACCCGAACTTTCTGCTGGAATTTACAGCCAGTGAACGCGAAGAAGAAATATTTTCTTCGCAAATTGAATACATTCAAAGAAAGCAGAACTCAACCGAAACTGCTGTAGCTTTCACCTCAAAATGTGCTGGTGTAGCACAAGATAATGTTTGTATGTTCTTCAGATGTCAAAGACTCTTGCAGCTAATGTTTCGCCATCAGTTTCCAATTCTACGGTTACATTCACTAGGATCTCATATCTTTATCAAATAAGTGGTATTTTATTCTGTCACATCCTGTGTAAAGACTTACCTTATAGGTGTATCAGAAATTATTTGCAACATGTGAAACAGAAATCAAGAATAAAACAGGAAAGGACAACTATCTCCAATAAGATACAGAAATTATAAACAGCTAGAGAGATTAAAAAATATATAACAAAAATGAGAATTATCAAATGCAGAAGAATAAGTCATATTTCATGGAAACAAAAACAATCAAATGCAGAGGGTCTGAAGAGATTGCATTGTGATTTTCAAGCACCCAACAGCAACCTGCTCTTCTGTGTGGTGTCAGCGACAGATCTTATATGAGTGTAATGAAACCAACACAGAAAAATGTCAGCACACAGTCTCTTACCTGCATTGCCTGCTGCTTCCATGCCAACAATGATGTTGGGTACATAGTTCAAGGAATCAAATATTCTAAATATATCCATGCCGTTCTTTACTGCAAGATGGCAAAACCTGCAGAGAATGACATTGTATTTCATTAAATGTGTGAAAAAAGGGCAAAAGGAGAAAAGACAGATGTGTGGGAATGGATAAGGACCTAACCTGTGTGGGAAGGAGAAAGGAGATAGATATTTAGAGATGGAGAAAAAGTAGAGCTGTGAAAAAAAAAAAGAAAAAGAGGAATGGACTGGTATATAGGCAAATTGCTAAAGAAATGAGGTGTGTAGAAAGAGCAAAGATGCGTTAAAAAGGTGAAAGGGAAGAAATATGTGGGGGAAAAAAAAGTCAGATATGTCTGTAAAGGGAGGAAAACAACCAATAACTAAACACTAAAATGTGAAGTTGATAAGTAAAATATATAAAGTGCACAATGAATGTCATCAAAAACACTATATTTAAATACAAAAGTATGTTTGCTTGCTATAATAATGTTTGCAACATCACTCCAGATCTGTCAAATGGCTCTGCATAAAAAGTCAAGTTCTAGAACAAATCTAAAAGTCCAGAGGTTGATGAACAGCCACAACCGCTGCAGTTACAGCTGGTGAATGCAAAAAAGATGCAGACAGTTAGCCTTTATTGGATGAGTCAAATCAGCTATTACTTACTCCGAGAATATTTTCTTAACTTTTTTTTTTTTGACTATCAGTCTGGGAGATAGCATTAATTTTAAAAATCTGCCTTGATGGGGATTTGGCCGTACAACTACCAGGCAGGCAGCAAGTGTGCTAGAGACTGTGCCACTGTGGCTCCCACATAGTTTATACGACTAACAGTAAATCACACAGCTATATAACTGCAAATATCTGTATAAACAAAGCTAACATCAAAAACATCCCAATACAGTTCAAAGCTTACATCAATAACATCCCAATACAGTTAACAGTAAATGTACATGCTCATAATTCTACATGTAAACCCATATGCTAAAATCTAACAACTTTTCTGATAGAGGCTCAGTTAATTGAAAGCATCATGTTTAACATGACACAGGGAAACAAATATGTTACTTGTGGACAACATTGTCTGGGTAGTTTGTGTATCCCACAGCATTGGCTCCTCTTAGTAACATCTGGAAAGGGATGTTAGGAATCAACTGTCGCAGCTCTCTCAGTCGTTCCCAAGGGCACTCATGGAGGAAGCGTAAAGCCACATCAAATGTTGCACCTGGGTTTTGAATTTTGTTAAAGTAACGAAAAATTTTGTGAATCAACTAAAAATGTAGCCTATTTTAACTAGAAAAACTACAAATCCATGTTCACAAATTATATAATTTTGTATTAATGATGATATGCTAAGCATGACTAAAAAAAAAAAGGAAATATTAAATGAGAAAGACATAGATTTTAGTTTTCTCATTAAATCAAGTTTCTTCTGGTGTCGATGATACCATTCCATGGGGGGATATAATTGACCCACTGCCCAAAATAATCAATCAATCAATCAGGTGCCGTCTCCACAATGAAGGTTGGCTGCAATGGATCTCCAACAAGCCCTGTCTCTTGCCCTTGATGTACACTCACTCATACTGCTGTTCGTCCATCTCTTGATGTTATCCTCCAACTTGTAACGCTGTCTGCCTCTTGCTTGCCTACCTTGAACCTTTCCTCTAGGATAATCTTTACAATACAGTTTATGTCTTTTAATGTGACCAAAATATTTCATTTGTCTCTTTTTTATTTCACCTAGCAACTCTCTTTTCATTCCCAATTTCCTCAGTACCTCTGTATTTGATAGCTTTTGTTTCCATGAAATACGACCTAATCTTCTGTACATCCACATCTCCAAAGAATTGATACGATTTTCCAGTTGTTTGTTCATTGTCCATTGGTGATTATAGTGATTAGTGTTTGGCCCATTATAAGCACACTCTAAAATGTAACTAATTAAGGATATTTTCTTCCAAGTCGGAGTGCATCTGCCAAACAGATGAGACACCAACAGTTTGCATACAAATAGGCATGATCTGTCATACGGATGTTCAAGCGAAATCCACGTTCTGGGACAAGAAAAAAAAATCAGAAGTGGATGAAGAAAAAGAAGTTTCTGCCTGAGTTAACAGCTTGTGAATGCTTAGAAGAAGATTAAATAAAGCAATCATCAGCAAGAACAACAACAGTAAACATACAAATATTGTTCACATCAAACTCTGGTGCACTATATGTAAAATATCTTCTAATACGACTGTCAATCCAGCCCTATAATGAAAAACTATCGCAAAAAATATACCAGGAGCCTTTACAGAACTTTGGCACCAGTCTTAAACCGCAGCAGCGACTCGTGATTTTATACAGCAATGATGGCAGTTGTGATTTGATAACAGTAATGATGATAATAATGAAGAAACTGGTAGTGATGATAATAATGGAGGAGGTAATGTTGGTAATGGTGATGATAGTAGTTATGGGGATGATGATAATGGTGGCGGCAATGGCAATGATAATGTTAACGATGATAATCTTGGTATCGGTGACAACAATGATGACAGTGGTAATAGTGATGATACAATGGAAATGGTGATTATAGTGATTAGTGGTTAGAAAGGAATATCATCACAGCATTCTGGACAGATCCACAAGTGCTCCGATCTCTTCCTCAAAAGCTCCACAAGTGTAAAACGACTCATGACGCCTGTTCTGTGTTGGTTAATGAAACGTCTTGTCCCCTTAGTAAAGTGTTAATTTCTTGCAGCTCCAGGCTACACCCCTATGTCCATCAGTCGAGACAGGAATAGGGAATCATGACTTTGGAGTGCTCCTTGGTACTGTAAGTGCAGCACATGGCATTGATAACATTACTTCTGTCCAGTACTGGACCAGCCATAGCAACTGCAGTGTAATAGTGTAGATGATGATGGTAATAATGGTGACAATGAGGGTGATGATTACAAGGCAATAGAGAATCTCGAAGACTCCTACCTCCCCAGTTTTCTGTACTGTAAAGTGGAGTGAAGTTGTGGGCAAGAAAAGGTGAAATTCTCTTGAGATCATAAGTTCGAACTCTGGTAGCCAACAGAGACTGGTGTGCGTCTCGGAATGTGGTGTCTGTCAGGAGAAGACCCTTGTGCTCTCGAACTTTCTTAGCAAAAGCTTGTGGACCTTCATTCAGAATAACATCCCTTAGACCTGCTGGTGGTTTGACAGCTAGAATGGCAGGGAGACAAACAAACTTGTCATGTAAAACTACTATGAGAACATGTAATAAAATATTTGACAGCTAGAATGGCAGGGAGACAAACAAACTTGTCATGTAAAACTACTATGAGAACATGTAATAAAATATTTGATGGCTAGAATGGCAGGGAGACAAACAAACTTGTCATGTAAAACTACTATGAGAACATGTAATAAAATATTTGACAGCTAGAATGGCAGGGAGAACAAACAAACTTATCATGTAAAACTACTATGAGAACATATGATAAAATATTTGACGGCTAGAATGGCAGGGAGACAAACAAACTTGTCACGTAAAACTACTATGAGAACATGTGATAAAATATTTGACGGCTAGAATGGCAGGGAGACAAACTTATCATGTAAAACTACTATGAGAACATGTGATAAAATATTTGACGGCTAGAATGGCAGGGAGACAAACAAACTTGTCATGTAAAACTACTATGATAACATGTGATAAAATATTTGACGGCTAGAATGGCATGGAGACAAACAAACTTGTCATGTAAAACTTCTATGAGAACATGTGATAAAATATTTGACAGCTAGAATGGCAGGGAGACAAACTTGTCATGTAAAACTTCTATGAGAACATGTGGTAAAATATTTGACGGCTAGAATGGCAGGGAGACAAACAAACTTGTCATGTAAAACTACTATGAGAACATGTGGTAAAATATTTGACAGCTAGAATGGCAGGGAGACAAACAAACTTGTCATGTAAAACTACTATGAAAACATGTAATAAAATATTTGACAGCTAGAATGGCAAGGAGACAAACTTGTCATGTAAAACTACTATGAGAACATGTGATAAAGTATTTGACGGCTAGAATGGCAGGGAGACAAACAAACTTGTCATGTAAAACTTCTATGAGAACATGTGATAAAATAAACTACAATATTTATTCCAAGATATGTATCATGACAAATAGTAAAGATTAGAAACAAAAATACAGAGCATTCTTCTTCTTCTGTCTTCTTGCTTTTGCCACAAAACATCGCAGAGAGGAGTTATATATAATTTCCTGTCTTTTGCTTGTTGCACCAGCTCACACTAATGTCATAGTGTGTTTCTGTAGTGTCTCTATTACTCCCTTCATCCATCTCTTTCTTGGCTGGCCTCTTGTCTTGTAGCCTGCTTGTAGTAAACTTTAGCGACTGGCTGATTTGGTTCCATTCTGATCAGATAAGCAAACCATTTGATTCTTTGATTTCTATGAAATATTTCATCAGTACTGTGCCTACTACTGTTCATAGTTCTTCAGTGGTGAATCTGCCTCTTCTGTGAATTCGGCTAAAGAATGCATATGTAGGTAAATAAAAAGTAAAGGACTCTTTTCATGCCTTGCATACTGGGCATATGATGCTCAACTCATATTATTACAGACCAGTCAAACTTGACTGGTGATGTGATCAACATCACGCTGGATGCCCTTTACTTCCCATGACACTTCCTGTTACTAATTTCTAGAAGAGGTCGATCTAGCAGTCAAGATCAAGTATAATCTGACCCATGAGGATCTGAACTGAAGACATTTGGGAGTGTCTAGCCACTGTGCTACATCAGCTCCCAATGCACAAGTAGTCATTAACCCTATCCCCAGGAGAAGACAAAATCTAATCACTCCCATTTGTGACATGGTCTCGTAAATGCCCGCATACTGCCATGTCTGCAGTGACAAGTTCTCATAAAGTGTAGTTAAATTCAGTTGGTTCTATGTGCATCTGAACAGTGTTTAAAAGGCCAGAATATCAATATAAGTAAAGTAAAGTAAAGATCCCTTTCACGCCTTGCGGGACATCGGGCATATCGGCAGAGCGTCCCATATTTTTACAGACCATCAGCACTCTGTGGGTAATGTGGTCAGCATTACGCCGGCTGTCTTTACTTTCCCAGGACAGCCCATCCTGGTACCCATTTTAGGCTGGGTCGACCTGCGACGTCCCATACCACCTCACAAATCCACGCAGCCTGCAGTGGGTTTCGATCGCGGTATGCTGGCTTACGAGTCGGACTCGCAACGCCTTAGCCACGGACGCCGACTATGAATATAGTAACTAAAAATAGCATGGGAGTGAGAGGTGTTCCTTTATGGTCTTTTTAAAGCCAAGTTCATGTCAAATTTTCTCTTAAGCTCCAATGATAATAGGTCAGGGGGTCACAGCATGAGTCACCCAAATACATATTTTTTTTAGACCCCTTGGAATGTATTCCATTTATTGCTTCACTAATGTTCATGTTTAATGATCACAACTGTAAATATCTTCCTATTTGTCAGGGGGAAAAAAAAACAAGTTGATAATTACATTAAAATAATGTACTACTGGCCTATATAATATGGTCCTTTTAAAGATTTTTTTCACCTGGGAATTCCTCTTTTTTTTTTTTTTTTTCATTTGAGGGGTGTAGCGGATAAGGCTTTGGTTTAAAATGTAAATGTCTGCTGCTAAAGTCATTAAAACATGCAACATTCATTTTTGGCAGCAAACACTTATGTTTTAATCATATCTACCAATGTTATGGCTGTGACACAAAAACCTATGATTTTAGTTTTAAGAAATTTAGAATAATGTTTTAATTCCCAATAACTAGATAATATATGTCATAAGGAATGTATTATTTTTAAGCGTCAATTCTTTCTGAAGTATAACAGTTCCAAAAAAATCAGTACTGAGCAGGTAGAAAACAGGGATGTTCACAATGTTGCCAGACAAAGAAGTAAAATAAAACAGGGATGTTCACAATGTTGCCAGACAAAGAAGTAAAATAAAACAGGGATGTTCACAATGTTGCCAGACAAAGAAGTAAAATAAAACAGGGATGTTCACAATGTTGCCAGACACAGAAGTAAAATAAAACAGGGATGTTCACAATGTTGCTAGACAAAGAAGTAAAATAAAACAGGGATATTCACAATGTTGCCAGACACAGAAGTAAAATAAAACAGGGATGTTCACAATGTTGCCAGACACAGAAGTAAAATAAAACAGGGATGTTCACAATGTTGCCAGACACAGAAGTAAAATAAAACAGGGATGTTCACAATGTTGCTAGACAAAGAAGTAAAATAAAACAGGGATGTTCACAATGTTGCCAGACACAGAAGTAAAATAAAACAGGGATGTTCACAATGTTGCTAGACAAAGAAGTAAAATAAAACAGGGATGTTCACAATGTTGCCAGACAAAGAAGTAAAATAAAACAGGGATGTTCACAATGTTGCTAGACACAGAAGTAAAAAACAAGAAAAAAAAAAATACAAATCACAGGGATTCTTTGTGAACATAGAAAAGTTCACAATGTTGTTGGATATCAAAGTAAAGATAGAAATATGTAATAAGTTGGGGTTATCTGTGGACAAAGAAAAGTTCTCAGAGCTGTCAGTAATAAAAGTAAATACAGATATATGGAATAAACTGGGGTTAACTGTGGAGTGGACAAAGAAATGTTCACAATGTTGCAAGGTATACCAGTAAATACAGATATATGGAATAAACTGGGGTTAACTGTGGAGTGGACAAAGAAATGTTCACAATGTTGCAAGGTATACCAGTAAATACAGATATATGGAATAAACTGGGGTTAACTGTGGAGTGGACAAAGAAATGTTCACAATGTTGCAAGGTATACCAGTAAATACAGATATATGGAATAAACTGGGGTTAACTGTGGAGTGGACAAAGAAATGTTCACAATGTTGCAAGGTATACCAGTAAATACAGAAATATGGAATAAACTGGGATTATCTGTGGACAAAGAAAATTTAAAAAAATAACATATTTTATATATAGTAAATGAAATCAAGCAGGTTGTTCAGTAACAGTGATATTTTGTGAAGGAATGTTGAGGCTACATGCATACCATTATGTGTTGGTTAAAGAAAAACACATTGGTTTCATAATAACACGTTTCGCTTGATCAGAATTACTGAGGCACTTCAAAAAGAGAAAATAATATGTAATTTTTCAGATACCTGGATCTTAACAAACAGACCTTCTAGAAAATCAATGCAATACATTCATTTTGATTGTTTTGTCGCTATATAAACCAGAACAGAATGGGAGCTGTTGACCTGAAAACGCTTGGAGACACACTCTGGAGGAGATCGGAGCACATATGGTCATGTCCGACGAAGATCTTCAAAATGGATGTTTTGTCAAGCTTGTAGCACATTACATCAACAAGCGATTCTTCATATTTTAACAAGCAATTTTTCAAGTTTCCTTTTCCCATCTTTAGACTGGCCCCAGTCTCCCTGTTTGGCAGAAACTGCGTCCCTCATTTCATCTAAACTCTTCTAATCTCTTGGCCTGTCAGAAGGAGAACCTACCATTGGCTAACCTCACCGGCATGGCTCTTGCTGTCAGTTAAAAAAACAACCTCTGCCTCTTCCCAAGTGGGGGAAGGAATATTATGACAAAGGGAGGAAAGGAGGGAAAAGGGGGTTGAGGTGGGGGAGGGGGAATAGGGAGACTGACAATACAATACTCAGTCTCGTGAAGAATAATCTTGGATATCGAAGTGAAACAAATTAAAACCGTCATGAGTAGAAAAGCACCTTCTTCCTCTTAAAGGGGGGAAGGAATTTTAGAAGAAAGAAATAAGGCCCGGATGATGATGATGGTGGTGTGTGTGTGCGCGCGAGAGAGAGAGAGAGAGAGAGAGAGAGAGAGAGACAGAGACAGAGAGAGATAATTATAATGAGTCTCTTGAACAACAACTGTCAATATGTGTATGCTTAATAATAATTTTTTTAAAAATCAAAGTGAAACAAACTAAAACTGCAATGAACAACAAATGAATTAACCTGCAAATCAACACCAATACAGACCCATGATCTCCAGCCCTTATAAAAATGTGCTGCTGCCGCATGATGTTTAATTAATGTACTTTTTTGGTCAGGGCAAGGAAAGTCATGCAGGCAGTTCATAATATCAAATGTGTTTTGCTTGTCAAATTT